CTGGGTCGGTGACTGGCTGGTACAAGAGTGCATTTTCTGTGATGCCAGTATTTGAGGTATTGGTGCATTTGATACTGCTTTCCTCTTCCAGCAAAGATGGAGGGCATTGGTCCACCATCCAATATCTCAGTCCTAAAGTGTCTTTTTCGCCTAACCTGCTTCGTGAGTTCTGTTGATGTAAAGTTGGAATTTTCCTACAAGAGCTTTTATGTGCCAGGGAAATAGACACAGGGTCGAGTTGGTTTATTTCTCTTATCCAAGAGGATGTTTTGTTTTGGGATGCAGTCGAAGCAGTGCTGTTACTATGATTTTCTCTTAAGCTGGTTCCAGCAAACTTATCCAAAGTATTTTGCACACTTGTTAATCTGACGGATGCAGCGCACACCGTCGCGTTTTCTATCACCCCATAACAGCAGTCACCATACAGGATGCACAGAGGGTCGCAGTTGCAATGGACCTTAATGCTGAGTTCACGAGAACCAATATCTGCACAGAGCCATCTATTGGGCGTGAGAGATACATCTGACAAAAAAGAGGTTCCACTGCTGTCGGTAGATATTTCCCGTGCCTCCTGCGTCTGATTGGGTGCCTCCTGCATAATTTCCGCGCGTATTCCACCCTCAGTACTGAATGACTCTTGTGTGGGGTCCACGTGCATTTTAACCTCAATAGTAGGAGACTCTTGTGTGACTTCGACGTGTATTCCACCCTCAGTAGTGGGTGACTCTTGTGTGACTTCGACGTGTATTCCACCCTCAGTAGTGGGTGACTCTTGTGTGACTTCGACGTGTATTCCACCCTCAGTAGTGGGTGACTCTTGTGTGACATCCACGTGTATTCCACCCTCAGTAGTGGGTGACTCTTGTGTGACATCCACGTGTATTCCACCCTCAGTAGTGGGTGCCTCTTGTGTGACTTCGACGTGCTTCCCAACCTCAGTAAGTGGCGAATCTTGTGTGACGTCCACGTGCATTTCACCCTTAGTAACGGGGGACTCTAGTGTGACGTCCTGGTGCATTACACCCTCAGTAGTGGGCGACTGATATGTGACGTCTACCTGCATCCCACCATCAGTAGTGGGAGACTGTTGTGTGACGTCAACTTGCATTTCACCCTCAACAGTGGGCGACGTTCGTGTGAGGTCCACGTGCATTCCACCCTCAGTAGTGGGTGACTCTTGTGTGGTTCTCCCTGTCATTTCTTCTTCACGAGAAGATAATTCTCTCTTGATTCTGACCGGCGTCACGTTCATTAAATCCGGTGCCTCTTGGTTAGATCTCCCAGACTGGCCCTGTTCTTGGGAAGGTGAGAACATGACATCTGTCGGCTTATTAATCAACAGCGCGCATAAAGTGAGGTGAATAATCAACATATTTCTAAAACAGTTACTTTCCGTGCAGCAATTGCACTTAGAAGTGGCACACACCAGTGTCCGCTGATCTTTTAAACCTTTCTTGGCAGAGTTCATTTCGCATAATGCTAACCAATGGACGAAGGCTTCCATTGATTTATACCGTAACATACATAGTATGATCACGCTACAGCCGTAGACGACTACTACCATGGCCCATAGAAGCCTACGCGTGTGTCAGTAAATGGCAACTCTTGTGTGACGTTCATGCGCATTACACCCTCAGTAATGGGGGACTCTTGTGTGACGTCCACGTGCATTTGACCCTCAGTACTTGGCGAATCCTGTGTGACGTTCACGTGCATCCCACCTTCAGTAGTGTGCGGCTCCTGTCTATTTCTTGCATGCATTCGACCCACAGTAGCGGGTGAATCTTGTGCGACTCCTGTCTATTTCTTGCATGCATTCGACCCACAGTAGCGGGTGAATCTTGTGCATTCACCATCGGTAATGGGGGACTCTTGTGTGGTTCCTGCGTGCATTCCACCCTCAACAGTGGGCGACTCTTGTGTGATGTCCACGTGCATTCCACCCTCAATAGTGTGCGACTTTGGTATGTTATTAAGCCCTATAACAGCGGAATTTGACAAGTCCCATGCCGCATTGGTCTTTTACTACAGAGAATTGAGCCCCGACATGACATGTCTGTGTCTGTTTTGCCACTTTCTGAACGAGATACGAGATGCGAAATTGACACGATCCATGTCGCGTTCGTCTCTTACTGTGGATTTTGGAGCTTCAAATGTCTATGTTATTAAACTTGAAATCCACATGGTCATGTGAGATTGACACGGCCCATATTGCATTCGTCTCTTACTGTGGATTTTAAAGCTTCAAATGGCTATGTTATTAAACCCGAAATTCACATGGTCGTGTCTTGTTCGTCATTCACTGAGGCCCATAGATGCGATATTGACCAGGCCCGCGCTGAATTTGTCTTATACTGTGCATCTTATAAAACACGAAATAGACATAGCCATGCTTATTTAGTAACTTTCTGGCTCCCATAAATGTAAGATTGCCTTGTGCAAAGTTGCATTTGTCTTTTGCTGTGAATTTTATGCTCTTAAATGACAATGTTATAAGACACGAAATAGACATGACTCTTGAGATTTTCGCAGTCGTGTCAATTTCGCATCTGTAAAGTTTAGTAAGTGGCGAAACAGACACAGCCATGTCATTTTCGGGACTCTGTAGTAAAAGACGTATGCGGCATGTGACTTGTCAATTCCGCTACTATAGGGCTTAATAACATACGAAATAGACACGGTGCATGACGTTTTCGAATGTTAAGGAAAGTCTGAGAGACGCACGTGTAGGCTCCAATGGGCCATGGTAGACTACATATGATGACATAGGCCTATGTATAACCTTGGTAAATTATAAAATTACAAATGAACAGTATCTGTACTGAAATGTTATGTTAAAAGACATCGCATAATATAAATAGAAAGAATGTGTTAATTAAGGAGGCGATGCACTTCCAGGTGCAAGACCAATACTCGTCGTTCGAATCTTTGCATCCTGTTCGAGTTTATTGGAGTGCAAAACTGCTAATTGCAGGCTTGAAAGTGTGAAGTTTCAGAGTCGTTGTGCAGTCTAACAAGTATAATCAGAAACAGAAAGAATAAAGGACTTGATACGTACTGTTGTTACATGGATCTACAAAAAGCTTTTGGTTTTAATTAATAGGGATATACTCATGTACAAATTATTTAAGACCTACATAAATAGAAAAATGTATCATGATATCAGCGTTAAATTCTCGTTACCTACATATCTATGCAATCTATGTAAGTTATCTGATCATTGAGCTAAATAAGTATAAAGAAGGTATCAGTATAAATGAGAGATTGAACCTTACTGGCCTACTTTATGCTGATGATCTGGTAATAATATCTGATAGCACAGAAAAACTAAACAGCAGCCTGGCAGGTGCGGACTGGTGGCGTAACAATGGAGAATGCTAATTAATTACAAGAAAACAAAATGTTTACATTACAGACCCAAACATAAATGACATAAAATGGGTTGATAAGTATAAGAGAGGTCATCAGATTCTGTAATATAGAAATTCATTTTTGAACAAAGCATTGTTGATAAAGAATACATTAAATAAAATCTTCTATGAAAATTTCCAAATTGAATGGAAAAAACACATTTTGAAATTCCCTAAACTCTGAAAATAAATGCCATTTATAAAATATTTTAAAACTGAAAATCATTTAAACATAGACTTGAACAGTAAAGAAAAATCATTTTACCATGATTTTGGATGGGCAATTTCCCTTTACGTGTACAAACTAGACGTTATGTACAAACGCCTATTAATGAAAGAATATGGCAACTATGCAAAAAGGAATTAGAAGATGAGAGTAATTTCTTACTTCGGTGCACTGCTGTTATATAGAGGAAAGCTATAAATTTTATTTTAAAAATTGAGTATCCAAATAAATGATATAAATGAAAGTGTCTATAGAAGATTTAATAGAAAAAAATGAGGCAATTAGCAAAATTTATTGTTAAGATTTTTGCAACAGGTGTCTTAAAAGCCCCATGACACGTTCATAACTGTATACTGTAGGTCAGTCACGACAGCGGCAATAATTAGTTTGCTCACAATTGTCGTGAGACTTGTTATTGACGTAGATCTCACACGAATACAGAATTTGATATCATTTTTATTGTTCATACTTGTCACCCAAGTCTACCAGATGAAGAAAAATTAATTAGATTTGACATGTTTTTGCTGACAGACTCTGCGTGATTTCAATAAGTGATACCAAGCCGTCCGAAAATACAGAATAGACTTGATCAAATTGAAATATGACTGTTTGAAAATGATCCTGAAACAAGTAAATAATAAATTTACCGACGTAATTTAAGAACGTGCACGTAACACAGAAAAGGCGTAGTCACGCCATAAGAATGTAGCGCAAAGCTTCACCAGATGTGACAGGTTTTCTTTATAATCAGTCCGACAAGATAAAGGCCCACTACACAAATACATATGCATTGATCCCCCTTTCAAAAAGTAATTCAAAGTAACTTTGTTTATTAAAATACAAATTGTATTTATAAAGACCTCATAACAAAGTGTGTCAGTTTTTTTTTTAAGGTTCTAGCTCCAAGAGTCATTTAAATCTTATAAATTTTTCTATGACATAAGATAAATACACTTGATTGGGAACATGTTAGACATATGCTCTCTCTACTTGCTCTGTAACATGCTCTTCCCCATTCCAAGTTATCTTTCATAATGCACCCTAATTATTTATACCCATTTTGTTAGTGTAATATTATCATAAAAGACGATAAAAGAGGTAAGCAAGAGAAGGAGAGAGTCTGTTTGCTAGGTGGACCGTCACGTAAAGAGAGTTGTAGAGACCCCAGTTTTGCAGTAATATAAACTGTGTAGCAAAAAAAAAACATACCTGCCTGTCTCAGTTGACTTACAGGTATTGGTGAAAATCATATCTATAAGAACAAATCTTAAGTGCTTGAATAACCAACAGGCAGGTTATTACAACGGTCAAAAACGGTCATTCTACTCTTATGCAGCCTTTTAAATGTTTTTTTTTAATTGCAGAATTAATGGCGCCATGTCCCAGCTACAGGTGTTTGCAGAGACGTTCAGGTGCCCCCCAGGATCTAACATGAACCCCCTAGATAAATGTCATGTCTGGTGAAAACAAACAACCCCGGGGAGATCTCTAAGCTAAAAAAATTGACTTCTTATATTTATGGAAAATACAATCATTGCAAAGAGGACTTCTGTTAAAATTTAATTTGAAAGAATAATTAAATGTACATAGATTTCAAGACACCTTATACAAGAACCTACTTGTTTCAAGGAAAAATCCAGCGATTTTAAGATACCCTATATTAGAACTTCTTTGTTCCAAGGAAAAATCCAGCATTTTTATTTCAATGGATTGTTGATAAAGAGGTGCAGGAATATTGAAGTAGATCATGTAAACACGTGTTCATACGCGTCACGTGGAGTGGGGGATTGCTCTATGAAATTTCACAGCAACATATACCAGGAACAGGGTCTTCGCTGAATGACTTAAAAACGATCGTATAGATATGTGGATAAAAGCAAAATGATTCTACGTGTATAAAGTTAAATACATGTACAAAGATAGTGACAACGTGACACTGGGCAAAATGCAATTTGCCATCAATTTGGCTCTGTCTTTTACCCTGTTACTGTTATTCAACTTTATACTTTCCTTTTTTATAGTTAAATTTCATATGAACAAAAATACATATAATCATCTCATTTATTTCAAATTTTGTAAAGAACTGGTTTGCAGCAATGTCAATGTTCGAACCGATGAAGTAACACAATTAATTTGATAATTGAGAGATTCGTGACTTGTTTGTGCATCTGAAAAAAAGTATGAAGGATCAGATTTATTTTTTATCTTTTTATGGGTTCATAATAACGCCGTATATTTGCATTTCAAAATGAATAAAAATAATACAGATCAACTTTTATGCTTTCACATGCATTGATAATGGAAACCATCAGAGATATCCACGCGTTAAATGTGGGGGGATTTGGAAAATGCTCACCCACGGGAATTTTTACGTTATTTTCTATTCAATTCTGTATCGTTTTTGTCTTTTGTACAACAGTAATTAAGTAGTTTAAGTGTTAAAAGTAATTTTATTGTTTGTACCTGTAAGTCACTTTTGTGTTGCTTTCTAAGATAATAATCCGGTGCATGTGTTTTCCCCCTGTCACCCTGTTTATGGCATCAATAAATGCTTCTTTTGCGGATGACCACAAACCGATAAGAAGACAAACGCAGGTTTTAAATAATAGGAATTTACTCATGTACAAATTATTTAAGGCCTACATAAACGGGAAAA